CAGTCGATTGCAAGACTCAGTACGATTCCCGTAGCGCCGTCTCATAGCGGGAACCCCGGGGAATCTTCAGGCGAAACCAATGGCGCAATCTCTGGCGTGAAATCCTCCTCAACCCGCGGTGCCGCCTATGGCACAACTGCTGGTCCCTGGCCCCCCGTTTGGTACAATGTCCAGTTGCTTGCGGGAAGTCCCGCCGCCGTGCCAGCCCAGCATTCACGGTGGCAGCTGTGCTAAGGGCCACGGGGCGGCCCCAGTGGGGTTTGGAACTGAATTGAAAAATGAAAGTAAATATTGGATTTCTTTTTTTCCCCATTCGCCCGAATGCGAGAACTCTTCGGAGACGTAAAGAAAATCAAAGGTTTCGGCCTCTTCGGGCTTTGGTCGAGGCCTTCTGGGAGCCCTCTTTGGCCGTCTTGGAGGCCTCTTGGGCCGTCACGGGGCCATGTTGATCCATCTCGGGGCCATCTAAGGCCGTCATGGAGGCCTATTGGACGATTTTGGCTGCGTTGGCGGCCTGCCGGCTCCATCTTGGAGGCCATCTTGGACATTGTGGGGGCGGTGGACAGCGCCTTGCACGTGTCTGGCCGCCGACACAGCTTCGCAAAGAGGGGGCGATGCACGCGCCTGGGTGCTTTCCGAGAGGGGGGGGGGGGCCCTCGATGATTTCAGAAGCACTGCCAGACAGCATGTGGTATTGTGGCGTGCCTCTACGTGCCGAGGGGCAAGGCGTCGAAGTCTGTCGGATTGCGATGGGCATTCTTTTCTTCGGGCACGCTCTGTGCGCTTCCGAGTCCAGAGCTCAGTGGCGATTCGACGAAACACGGGGTTCATCCAAAAACGCGTTTCAGGATGCCCTGGGTGGCCCATCGAGTGCCCAGGCTGCCTCCGGACAAGAGTGCCCCTGCGGCGTATGTTTGCCCAGGGCGGTGTTTTCCGTGGAGGCTTTCCGAAGGTGAGTGCATCGGTCTATATGCACTTGCGAGGCTTTCTACGAAGCCCGCCGAGCACCTTTAACAGGTCGTCGGCATTGCACCCGTTCGCCCCCAATTCCCTCCACCTCGGCCTCCAGCCTCCGTCGCGTGCTTCTCTCCCTCAGCTTCTCCTTCGCCGTGAATATTCGTCCCTATTGTAATCGTTGTCTTTTCGATATTCTTTAGGTTATTCCTCATTATTTGTACACTCTGTGTCCTTACCGCCACTCAAGCAGTGTCCGCAGGCAGGCGCATGTACGGCGTTGATTGGAACCCCATGGCCGCTGCACAAAGGGAAGCATGTGGGGGGAGATATCTTGCCTCAGCCCTCATTCGTGGACACCCCCCACGTTCTCGGCAGTCCTGGCAGAGTCGCCCAGCGGGGTGACGGGCGCGAGCGGGCAGGCGCGCGCAGACTCCTCCACCCCAGCTCTGCCACTATCCCCCCTGTCATTGCTTGCATTCCTCGGGATCTGGCATCGCCTCCAGGGCATGGGATGTCAGCATTTTCTCGCGAGGGCTAGCTCGGCAAGCCCAGCTGCGCCCCCCAGGGGAGTCCATCCGCCAAGGGCTGCCCCGCGACCGTGGCCGATGTGGTGGGGGCGAGTGCGGGCTTCTCGCAACGGCCGTTGGAATTGCCATAACGGTTTTTACATCATGTTACTGTCCTCCATCCGCGCGCCAGTGCTGCGAAATCCAGTTGCTCAAAACAGTCGGTCTGGGTCTGCCGCGGGAGGCCATGAAAGCCTGCGCAGTCGTGTCCTCCGCTTGCGCAGCGCACGTCGTCCGGCCGCTGAGCGCTCGTAGGGAGCGCCACCCCGAGGTCTGGTGCACACTTCCCCGTTGGATTGATCCCCGTGGAATCGCCCGTGCCGCGTTGGCCTTCGTCCGCACTGCGCACCGCAGTCCGAGCCCATGCAGTATCACAACAAGTACGTTCGCACATTGTGTTCGGACCTATATGCCTCCCGACAGCGCTCATTCTACGAGGAATCGCTTGCGGCTTGTCCGTGTTGAAGGACATGTCCGCCCCAGGGCCGATGCATTGCCGTTCACCCCGCATCATCTGGCGCGTGCGTTCCGGGGACACGTCCTCTGGGCCATGGGGTCGGCGCCTCTCCTTGGAAAATCTGGGTTCGAGGGATGTTGAGTGTCCGGGTCTAGCGTGTCCGGGTCTACGGGGCCCTGACCGGGGTTGAACTCCGCCCCGGGTTGCCGAAGCTGCACGGGCCCACCCAGTGCAGCGTTTCTTGGCCCCACAGAGAGGGGTGCCCGCATACGGTCCCCCCACACAGTGCAGCGTTTCGTGGCCCCACAGGGAGCTCCACCGAATGCCCTAGGGTGGGGGTGCCCGTATGCGTCCCCCCCATCCAGTGCAGCGCTTCGTGGCCCCATACGGGGCTCTACCGCCCGCATGCGTTCCCCTCCGCCACGCCCAGCGTTTCGAGGCCCCGCAGGGAGCTCCATCGAAGAAGAGATTTACAACTTCGGCACTCACAACTGCGCATATGGCTGGGTCCTTCGCCAAGATCACTGTGCTCCTGTAAATTGCCCCTTTCCTGTGGCTCGAAAACCGTGTGATTGACTGCGTACATGTTCCCTCTCCCCTGTGGCTCGAATCCTACATGTATGACGTGCGGTGCCATCGATTGCCCTTCTCCAAGGGGGGCTGGGGGACGCGTCTCCCAGGCCCAGCGGCTGCCGGTACAATGTGTTGCGTATGTTCGTGTCGAGTGCCCCTCTACTGTGGCTCGAAACCAATGTTGTATATATGTTCCTATAGATTGCTCTTTCCCTGGGACTCGAAGCCCTTCTGTCCTACACATGTTCCTACAGATTGCCCCCCTCTCATGTAGCTCGAATCCTATATGCTGTACGTGTGTTCCTACATATTGCCCCTCTCCTGTGGATGGAATATTATGTGTTTTACTCATGCTCCTGTAGATTACCCTTAATCCTGGGGTTCGAGTCCTATGTGTTACGCGTATGCCTTCAGATTGGCCCTCTTCTGTGGCTCGAATCCGATGTGTTCAACGTATGTGCCTATCGATTGCCCCGTTCCTGGAGCTCGAATACTATTTGTTTTACGTGTGTGCCTATAGATTGCCCCTGCCCTGTGTCTCGACTCCTATGTGTTTCGCTCATGTTATGTAGATTATCCTTATTCTGGGGTTCGAATCCGATGTGCCTTACGTAATGCAGGATGACGAGAAATTGAAAAATAGGGGGAACGATGCAAAACATTTTCTTTGATTTATATAGGATGTTTCAACGGAAGGAGGACGATTAAATAATATGTCTATTGCAGGTCGGCTTCGAATTTTGCGTCGAATGCTCATTTCACGTCGTCGTCAAATTTTATGTTACATAATTGTTCGACGTCGACTTCAAACTTTTCGTCAAATACACATTCTACGTCGGCTTCAAACTTTTACGTCGGAAACTCGTTCCACGTCGGCTTCAGACAATATGTCTAATGCTCATTTGACGTCGGATTCAAACGTTACATCAAATACACTATCCACGTCGACGGCTGTCCGGGCGCGCGCCCGAGGACGGCAGGGGGGGAACGATTGAAAAAAAAAGTTTCCCAGCCCGCGGCCCGTTTTTTCTAATCATCCTCCAGGGCGCCGCCGACGCAACACAACCCCTGTTCATGTATTAATCGTCATCCTACATTATGTTACTATATATTGCCCCTCTCCTGTGGCTCGAATCCTGTGTTAGGCGTATGTCTGCAGATTTGCCGCCTTCTGCGGTTCAAATCCTGCGCGTTTGCCGTGTATCCCTATAGCTTGCCCCTTTCATGTGGCTCGAACCCTGTGTTTTACGTGCGTGCCTATAGATTGCGCCTTTCCAGTGGCTCGAATCCTTTTGTGTTTCACGTATGTGCCTATTGTTTGTCCCCTCTGGTGGCTCAAAACTTGTGTTTTACGTGTGCCTATAGATTGCCCCTCTCCTGTGGCTCGAATCATGTGTCTCCCCAGGCCTCCCCATTCCCCGGGACGGAACGTTGGAAGTTCATGTTTATCTGGTGGTTGACCTTTTTTCCATGTTGGAATCGCCTTAGAGCTAGCCTAGGGCATTTTTGGGGCTCTCAAGGGGTCTGTGGGGACTCTGTTGGGGCAGTCTTGGAGGGCACATGGGGCTCTTTGGGGCCGTCTTCGGGCGCTCTTGGGCCATCTTGGGTCTCATTTGAGCCCTCGAAGGCGTCTCTTGGGAGTCTCTTCGGCGGTATTTGCGTGATGTAGGAGCCTTTCGGATCCGTTCTTGATGCGGCATGGGAAGCTAAAATCAAGGGGCCCAGAAACACACAAATAAATACACACAAATAATAAAATCCCCCATCTGTTCCCATATGTTTTGAGTTTTGTCTTCCTTTCCACTTCCCATATGTTCCCATTTCCTGGGAGTCGACGATTTATTGTGTCGGTCAGTTTCTTTCCCTCCTGATGAAAATCCTACCTTAAAAACAATCGAATTTGGCCTCGTTGGGCAAGCCAGCATCGGGGTCCGCCAGGGGCCGTCGTGGGAGGCCTCCCGGCGTGCCTCTGGGCCGTCCTGGAACACTCGGAGGCTTGCTTCGGGCTCTCTGGTGCCTCCCGGGCGCTCTCTGGAGCGTCCCTGAGCCGTCGCTGGACGTCTTGCAGCCTTTTTGAAGGGGCCCTGGGGCACACAAAGAAGTAGACACAAACAACCCGATTCCCCATATTTGTCCCATAGTTTCTGGGTGTCTGTCTCCCCCCCCCACTTCCTATATTTTCCCAGATTCCCGGGGGAATCGACGATTTGTTGCGTCTGTGTGTTACTTTCCCTTCTGAGTTCTGTCGGCCGCCCAGGGCCGTCCAGGACCGCCCCTTTGGCCGCCCCGGCCCGCTGCAATTGCAGCGCCATCTCGCACGCGGTGGCCCGAGTGCTGTAGCACAGATGGCGTCGGGCTCCAGCTTCGCGTCCCGCATCTCGAGGAGCAGCGCCAAAGCCCGCTGCCACTGCAGGCCCTTCTCGCACGCGCTGATCCCAGCGTTGTAGCTGACGGTGTTGGGCTCCAGCTGCGCCTTCCGCATCTCGCGGAGCAGAGCCAGCGCCCGCTGCCACTGCTCGCCCTTCTCGCATGCACTGATCCCAGCGCTATAGCTGATGACATCAGGCTCCACCTTCACCTCCCACATCTCGCTCAACAGCGCCAGCGCAGGCTGCCACTTCTCGCCTTTCTCGCACGCGCTAATCCCAGCATTGAAGCTGATGACGTTGGGATTCAGCTTCGCCTTCCGCAACTCGCACAGCAGCGTTAGAGCACGCTGCCACTGCTCGCCCTTCTCGCACGCGCTGATCCCAGCATTGCAGCTGATGATGCTGGGCTCCAGCTTCTCCTCCCGCAGCACGCAGAGCAGCGCCAGAGCACGCAGCCACTGTTCGCCTTTTTCGCACGCGCTGATCCCAGCGTTGTAGCTGACTAGGGCTGACCCGCGGCCTTCCGGCCGCGGAATCTGCCCGCCGTGGCGTGGACGTGGAAGTGGAGCGTCTCTGGGGCCTCGCGGGGAAGGGGAGGGTGGAGGAACGGCGTGGAATGAGGAGGTGGCCGCTGGAGGTGGAGGCGAGCGAGGGATGCAAGCAAGCAGGCTTAAGGCAGGAACGCGGTGGTGGAGGCGGTGCCAGTGAAAGCACACCCGCGTAGGCATGACATGGTGTGGACAGAAGCTGTTTCTGACGCCGCAGTCTGTGTTCATCATAGTTTCTGCGGGTCGGGGGCGTCTGGGAGCGTCTTGGGGCGATCTTGGGGTCCTGTGCAGCCGTCTTCGAAACTGTGCAAAGGGACAGGAGGAACACATGACACAAATATGTCTCCTGCAGGGAATGGGGCGATTTTGCCCCTTGGGTCTCTCCTGGGGGTTCTCCTGGGCCGTCACAGGAGCCTCCTGGCCTGCCTTGCAAGTCTCTGGGGCCATCCTGGGGCTCGCTTGGGGTCCTCTCGGGGCGTCGTGGCGCCCCCTTGCGCGTCTCTGAGCCGTCTTGGGGCCCCCTGGAGCCGTCTCGGAGCGCCAGGGGGACTCGCAGGGCGCCCCAGAGGGCCCGGGGAGCCTTCCGAGACAAAAGCCTTCTCGCACGCAAAGGCCGCTGCATTGTAGAAGAGACATGGGCTGACCCGTGGACTACGTCCACTTGCGGGCTGAAGGGGTGCTGCCGCAAGGCGATCAGGATGAATGGCGTCCTGTTCGCCTGCCGCGCATCGCTGACCGAGGAGACGGATGAGCGTCTGGACGCCCCATTTGGGGCGCTCAAGGGCTCCCTTGGGATCGGGTCGGGCTTTGTCGGTGCGTTGGGTCCGACCTTCTCGGGGCGTTCTGGGGCCGTCTGGGGGCCCTCTGAGGGGCCCCAAGATCACCAACACGCCTCCAAGATAGCCCCATAATGGCCGCCCGCCCAGAGTCGGCGGGACCGATTCTGGGCCATCGCGCCGCCGACCCAGAATCCCGCCCGACGCGCCCTGGGCGGCCGCGCGCGCTTCCGGGGTCGGCCGAGGCGATTCTGGGCCACCAGAAATGCGAAGCACGGCATGACCCCAAGAGGCCGCGGAGAAGGCTCCAGACCGACAAAAAGGCCGAGTGATGTTTGGGCCAAATCCGGCAGGGAACGCCAAACAAGCATCAGATGCCCATGGTGCGCTGGGAGCCGTTTTTGGGCCGTCCAGGGCCGTTTTGACGCCGTGATGGGAGACACCTGGGGGGTCTTTGTGCGATCTTGGGTGCCTGTATGGCAATGTCGGACGCTTTGAAGACGACGAGCAGGGGAAGAGCGCAAGTTGCCGCTTTCCTGAGGGATTGGGGCAGATGTCTCCGCGTTCGAGCTGTATGGGAGCGCTCCTTCGAGCCCAGATGGAGCGCCTTGGAGCTGTCTCGGGCCTGTGGAAGCTATCGTGGGCGTCTTCGATCGCTGAGGCCGTCTGGGATCGTCTGGGAGGTATCACGGGAAGCTCCTGGGGCGGGTAGGAGGTATCCTGGGAGTCGGGTGGCCGTCTTGGGCCGTCTAGGAAGCCTCAGGGCCTTCGGCGAAATCCGCCACCGTGCCTGTACCTGGGTAATGGCTCAGAGGCGTCTGGGGTCCCTCTTGGAGGCAGCTTTGGGGCCTCTTGGGGGCCGTCTTGGGGCCTCGTGGGGCTTGCTTTGGGCTTCTTGAGGGCTTCTGGGGACCTCTTGGCGTTCCCTTGGGGGTGTCTTTTGGGCCTTGCGTGGGCGTATGGGTGCCCAGGGCTCGGAATGTCAGGGTCTTTCCCCGTTCTTTTTGGCCCCCTCTTGGGCCTGGCTTGAGCTCCTCTGGGGCCGTCTTGGGCGCGTCTTGGGCCATCTTGGGGCTCCCTGGGCCGTCTGGGGACGCGTTCGGAGGCCTGGTGGGCCGTCCTGGGGCGGTCTTGTGGGTCTCCTCGGCCGTCTCGGAGCGTCGGCTAGCCGAGAAGGCGAGAAGGCAAAACTCCTTCAGAGGCCATGGAACAGTGAGGGATTTCTCCCACGCTAGCCTCTTTCGGGATGACTCGCGGGGTCCGAGCGGGGATGTTCCTGACAGGCCCTCAAGATTGATTTTGGTGGGCCTCCTGGGTTTTGGGGCGGCCTCCCAGAGGTCGCAAACATCGGAGGACTGGGGACGTCGTGGGGCTTCTCGGGGGCCTGAGTGGGGCCTTTCGGCGTCCTCCTGTTGGGCCGTCTGCAAACCGTACTGGCGACCTCTTGGGCCGTCTGGAAGCGTCTCGAGCCCTGTGGGACCGTCTCGAAACCTGGCGGGGCCCGCCGGTACTCGGAGACTGCAGTCGCGTCTCGGTGCCCTCCCTCCTGGCACGCGGGGCTGCCAGCCGCATGTGAGAGATAACGGTTGGCTGCAGCTTCGACTCACACATCTCGCTGAGCAGCGATAGAGCCCGCTGCCACTGCTCACCCTTCTCGCACGCGCTGATCCCAGCGTTGTAGCTGACTAGGGCAGACCTGTGGACTCCGTCCACGACATCAGCTCGACGTGGCGAGGGGTCTCTGGGCAAGCGCGGGGGGGTGCGGCTGCAGGGCCCGACGCAGTTCGCGTCCTTGACCACGATGGCCAGTTGAAGGCGCTCTCCACACCCTCCAGGACCTCCTGCTCTCCTGTGTTCCTCAGCTGCTGCTGCTGCTCGGAGGTCCTGCTGCTTCCTCCCCCTCCTCCTCCTCCTCCGCCTCCTCCTCCTCCTCCGCCTCCTCCTCTTCCACCTTCTCCTCCTCTTTCGCTCGATTCTCCATGCCCTCGGTCGGCAATCGTCGATCCTACGACGACTCTCCCCAACAGAGAAACATCGAAGGCCCTCGGAGCGTCCAACATTGTTCTTTTGTGCCTTCGAGATGCCGGTCGCCTCTCGTCCGCTCCCCCCCTCCTGGAAGCAATTCTGAGGCCACTTAGGGCTTCGTGGGGGCCGTTTGGGGATCTCTTGGGGCGTTTTTGCCTGCGATATGCCTGTCGCCTCTCGTCCGCTCCCCCGCTCCTGGAGGGAATTCTGAAGCACTGAAGGCTTCGTGGGGGCCGTTTCGGAGCCTCTTCGGCCTTCTTTTGGGCCTCCCGGGGGGGCTCTTAGGGCCCTCTCGGGCCGTCTTGGGTGCCTCTTGGGCCGTCTTGGGGCCGTCTGAGGCCCGCCTCGGCGCCTCTTGGCCTGTCTTGGGCCGTCTTGGGCCGCTCCTGGGGCCGTCTTGGGTGCCTCTTGGGCCGTCTTGGGCGCCTCCTGGGCCGTCCTGGGGCCGTCCTGGCGCGTCTTGGGACCGTCTTGGGGCCCTCCTGGCCCGTCTTGGGGCTCTCTTGGGGTCCTCTTCGGCCGTCTTGGAGCGGTCTGGGGGACTTCTTGGGCCGTCTTGGAGCGTCGGGAAGCCGAAGAGGCGAGGAGGCCGAAAACATCGAAAAACACAATAGAAATCGACGATTTCTGTCGCTCGGGGCCCTCTTGGGAGGCCTCTTGGGAGGCCTCTTCGGGCGTCTTGGACGCCTCTTGGGCCGTCTGGGGCGAATCTCGGGCGTCTTGGGCCCATCTTTAAGCGTGCCGGGGCTCTCCGGGGCCGTCTTGGGGGCTTCTGGGGGCCCTCTCGGCGTGTCCTGGAGCCTGCCTGGGCGGCCCGGGGCGGCCCGGGGCCAGCCCGGGGCGATTATTGGTCACTTGATCCTGCGCCCTTCTGGTACGCACTGGGCCCTGCAATGTAGTAGAGACTAGGGCTGACCCGTGGACTCCGTCCACGACATCTTTCTGGAATGGTTCTCGGAGGAACGGCGCAGATTGTACCGAAAATCTATAAACACGGCGGCGGCTCGGGCGGCGGCAGCGAGACCGCGCCTTCGTGTCCGAGCTCTTGCAGCGCTCCAGCAGCTTGGCCCCAGCGCACTGCTCGTTCACCCCCTTCCTATTGAGGGCAGTGTCGAAGTCTCTCGGGGATGTGCGTCGAAGTCGAAGCCCATCTGAGGCGTCTCAGGAGTGCCCGGGGAAAGGCTCGGGAGGCCATCGGGGAAAGCCACCGAAAGCGCCGGGGAGGCTCGCAAGGATCTACAGGGAGGGCCCAAGAGAGCTTCAAGAAAATTTGAAATCCAGTGAACTCTGAAGAGAAACCGCTGTTGGGTCGGCCATCACCTCCGGGCACGCCTTGATGGCGCGATCCAGTCGCATCGCCGCCAACGGGAGGGTTTGTTCGCCATGTCCCATTATGTTCGCCCAGAGGGTCTGTGGAGGCCTTCGGGCGAACAGAACGGCACAGGGCAAGGAATGGGGAAGACTTGTCCGAATCTCCTGAGCCCCCCAGGTGCTCGTCCGAAGAGTGCCGAGAAGTCCGTGGTGGGTCATATCGATTGGCTGCTGTCCCAGGGGTCCGGTCTGGTTGGCCCGAAGAGTTTGCCAAGGCCCCTGGGGGAACAGAATGGCACAGCATATCGGGCTAAGGGGGGCGGTAGCTGGCCTGTCAGACCCGGCGTTCGTCTTCTGCCCAAGCGGCGCGGGGCCCACGGGCCCCAGGGTTGGCGGCCCGCTGGGTTTCCTCTTGTTCGCCCACAGGGTTGGGGGAGGCCTCCAGGCGAACAGAATGGGGCAGGACAATGAATGTGGGAGACTTGTCGCAAGCTGCCAACCCCCCAAGTGTTCACCCGAAGGGTGTGGGGCCGCGTTTGCTCCCTCAAAGGGCCGTCTTGGAGCCGTCTAGGCCCGTCTTGAGGGCGCCGTTTGCCGTGATGGGGCCGTCTTGGTTCGTCGTGGGCCCCTCATGGGCCCTCATGGGCGCGTCCGTAGGCCGTCCTGGGCCCATCGGGGTCCTTGTTGGCACTGCCGTGGGGCTGTCTTGGAGCCGTCTGGGGCCGTGAGGGGGCCGCCTTGGAGTCGTCTTGGGCCCCTCCTGTGCGCCTCCTTGGGCCGTCCTGGGCCCGGCCGGGGCCGTCTTGGCACCCTCTTGGGGCTGTCTTGGGGCCGTCTTGAGCCGTCGCAGCGCGCCTTGGGTTGTGCTGGGTCCGTGGCGGCCTTTGTTGGGGCCTCGTTGGGGTTCCTTGGGAGCCTCCTGGGGCCTCTTCGGGGGGTTCTTGGCGGCCCCTTGGGGCCTCTTGGGGGCCTGTTTGGGCCTCCTGGCGCCCTCTTGGGGCGGAAGGCTCGGATTTTCAGTCAGTGGTCCTCCTCTCGGTCCCCTCTTGGGTCTGTCTTCGGGCCCTCGTGGGCCGTCTTGAGCGTCTCTTGGGTCGTCTTGGGGCCCTCTTGGGCTGTCTTGGGGCGCCCTTGAAAGCCTCTTGGGCCGTTCTGGGGCGCTCTTGGAGGCCTCTTGGGCCGTCTTCGAGCGTCGGAAAGCGGAAAAGGCGAGAATGCCAAAATCCTTTCCAAACCGTCGTAAAGTGGATGATTTTGGCTGCTCGGGGCCCTCGGGGAATACTCTTGCAGGCCTGGGCTCCTTGAGCTGTCTTGGGGGCCTCTTGGGGCCTCTGGAGCCTCTCTGGAGCCGCCCGGGGCGTCTTTAAGCCCCGTGGGACCTCTTGGGGACCTCTTTTGGGCTCCTGGGGGCCTCTTGGGCCTCTCTGGGCCCTTCTATCGCGCCCCTTGGGCTGTCTTGGGGCCCCCTAGGGCCTTCTTGGGCGGTCCTCGGGCCGTCTTGGAGCCGTCTTGGGCCGCTCTTCGGGCCATCTTGGGGTCCCGTTGGCCTGTCTTGGGCGCCTCTGGGGCCGTCCTGGGGCCGCCTTGGACCGTCTTGGGGCCCTCTTAGACCGTCTTGGGGTCCTCTTAGGGACCTCTTCGACCGTCTTGGAGCGGTCTTGGATGCCTCTGGGGGGGGGTGTTCGGAGCGTCGGGAAGCCGAAAAAGCGAGGAAGCAAAAAACCTAGGAAAAACACATGAAAATCAACGATTTTGGCATCTCGGGGCTCTCTTGGGAGGCCTCTTGGGAGGCCTATTGGGCCGTCTTGGGGAGCTCTTGGGCCGTCTTGGGCCAATCTTGGGCGTCTTGGCCGGATCATTGCGCGTCTCGGGGCCCTCTTGGGCCGCCTTCGGGGCATCTTGAGCGGCTCGGAGCCGTCTTTGGGCCGTCGGGGCGGCCTCCGGAGCGTCTCGGAGCCGTTTCTAATCATTTGGCTGGATTTCCTTCCGGCACGCGGTTCCTCCGGCCATATAATATAGACTTCGGGGGCGGCCAAGAGGGGAGCGCCAAAGAGGGGGAGGTGCAAATCATGGCCCGCGGCATGTGCGCGGCCCAGGGGGGGGCCAGGGACGTTATGAAATGAGAAGAGGCGCCAGGAAATCTGAGGAAATATCATGGCCCCCACCATGATATCCACCCCCTCCTAAGTTATCACCCCCCTCTTGGCCGCTCCCGATGACTGCAATAAAGTAGAGACTCATGTGAAACCGGGGAAAAAAACGTCCACGGCTGGCAGCTCATGCTGTCGGTCCCGAGCGCGGCCGCAGAAAGCACACGTGTCGCCGACGCCGAAATGTCGGCGTGTCCCCTCCGTCACCCCGAACCGGCTGTGTGGGGGCCCCAGCGCGGCTGGAGCTCGGAAGGAAGGCGGTCAGGGGAGGAGCGGGGAGAACGGAGACAGGAGCGGAGAGGCCCCGGAAGCAGCCGAGGGCCCCCCAAGCTGCCGGAGCGTCGAGGAGGGAAGAGGAGGAGCAGGCCAGGGTACAGATGACGTTGGGCTCCAGCCTCGCCTTCCGCATCTCGCTCAGCAGCGCCAGCGCCCGCGGCCACTGCTCGCCCTTCTCGCACGCGCTGATCCCAGCGCTGTAGCAGACCAGGGCTGACCCGCGGCCTATGGCGGCGACACGTTCTAAGAAATTGCTTGCGCGGTCGGGGCGGCGAAGGTGCCGAGCGGCTCTCAGGATGACGTTCGGCGTCACCTGCGGCTTGGGCTGAGCTCAGTGTTAGTCCTTGGGCGCGTCGTCTCTCGCCTCTCGTCCGCTCCCCTCTGTTCGAAGCGGCTTTGAAGCCACTGGGGGCCTCCCGGGGGGCCGTTTGAAGGGCACTTGGGGCTTCTTTTCGGCCTCCTGGGGACCTCTTAGGGGCCCTTTTGGACCGTCCTGGGTGCCTCTGAGACAATCTTGGGACAAGTTGGGGCCGTCCTGGCTGCCTCTTGGGCCGCCTTGGGGCCGTTTGGGGTCGTCTTGGGTCGCTCTTGGGCCGTCTTGGGGCGGTCCTGGGCTGTTTGGGATAGCTGTTGGGGCTGCCTCGAGTGCCTTTTGGGCCGTCTTTGGCGCCTGTTGGGCCGTCGTGGAGCCGTCTTAGGGGCCTGGGGCCTGTTGGGCCGTCGTGAAGCGGTCTGACAGGGTCCAGGAGCCGTCTGGGGCCGCTCTTGGTCCAACACGGCGAGAGCGTGACCGTCCTTCAAAACCGAATGGAAATCTATGAGATGGCCGCCCATGCGCATGCCCTTCGTGGCCCCGCTGTCGCCCGTCGTGGCCCCCTTCCTGCCCGTCGT